AGGAGGTCAGAACATGTGGTCTCCTTGCCGTTTCTGCAATCACATACGCACCCCCTCTTTGGTCAGTCACCAAAGTACAGATTTCATAATTTTGTTCCCTCAAGTGATCATGCTTTCCTAAACTATGTTAAGTTAGCCCAATTACTCAAGTAAATTCTTAGGCCTTTGCCCTTTGGTAACCCCAAAGCAACAGACCCTTTTCATGCCTACACACTTATCAACCCATGAATGGATAAATAAACTATGGTACATAAACACAATGGACTACTAGGCAATGTTAAAGAATAACAAGGAATCTGCAAAACACCTCATAACATGGATGAACTGGAGGACATTACGCTGAACGAAATTAGTCAATCACAGAAGCACAAACATTGTATGAGATAATTATCATAAAAAATCCAGGAAATGTGTTCATGTAGAAAGAAACATTCATTGATGGTTATCAGAGGTGGGAGGGGAAGGGAGAGTCAATCACTAACTAGACAGCAGACGCGTATTAACTTGGCTGAAGGGGAAGGTAATGTATAATGATCAGGAGGAGGTGAGCACCACGTGACCAAGGCAAAGGAAACTACTAGGAAGTACACAAAAGGAAGAGACACCAAAGGTAAACGCCGTTACAATCCTGCAACTACAGCACCAACAGCGATCTACAAGTAGACACACAGGCAGACAGGCAAGCTGAACAGATGTGGGATGGGAGTACACCCATGAGGATACAGGAGTTTAGCAGAGGGTATTTCTACACGTATTTGTAAGTGCTGAAGATACAGCCAAAGATGTAGCATACAGGACACAACATTTCAAAAGCCTCCGAGCTATAACCAAACACCTTGAGGGAATGAGTCACCAGGCTTGGGGATTTAAGACCACAAGCCAGGGAACATCTAGGTCAACTGGCATAACACAGTTCAAAAGGCAATGTTCCAGAACCTGCTCTAGTGAGTACTGACTGGGGTCTTAAAAACTTGTGAGTGGCCATCTAAGATACAACTATTGTTATCCCCCCATCCAGAGAAAAGAAGAGTGAATAAAGTCAAAGACTCAAGGAAACAATTATTCCAAAGGGTTAAGGGACCATGCGAACCATAGCATCCATTACCCTGAGACCAGAAGAACCAGATGGTGCCCAGCTGCCACTTCTGACCACTCTGATCGGGTTCACAATAGCAGATCCTGGGAAGAGTGAGAGGAAATAATGTAGAACTAAAGTTCAAAATCATAAAGAGAATTACTGGTTGATAGAGCCTAGTGGAACCCCTGAGACTATGGCCCTTAGACACCCCTCAAGCCTGGCAATGAATCCACCCCCAGGGACCATCTCTCAGCCAGACAACAGACAACACCACAAAAATACAAAACAAGAAATAAAAGAAAACCACAAATCAGAGAAATTACAGTAGTCTTAAGAAAGTGGTTTGTTCGACACTGAGCAAAGGAGTTTGAAACATAGATTTTAACTCCAGAGACAAACATACGATCAACCACTCAAGACCAAAAGGACGGACGGCATGTGCCCAAAACAAGCTCCAAAGGTAGAAAGGAGCAGGAAAGAAGGACAAACAGCAACGCGAACCGGGGGGGAGGGGAAAGAGAGCTGGTACAGTGAGGGGACTGGAACGAATGCCAAGAAACAAAACGCATATAAATTGTTGAACAGAAAACTAATTTGCTCTGTAAACTTTCACC